ACATTATACGAAGTTATACGAGGCGCACGGGCGGGCCTGCCCCTCCCGGGGCCAGCTTAGACTGGGCGGGGACGGGACCGCGAGGTCCCGTGGTCACAGCCGGCCCCCCACTCACGGGTGCGCCCGAGAGGTCTGGGGCCCGCTCTGGCACGCGGAGCAGCCCCCTCTCCTGGGCTGGGGGCGCCTGGCTTGGCCTGCGCTCTTGGGTGAGGCAGAAACTTGTGAAGCCTAGCCCGGGAAGGGGTCCTGCGCTATGAGGTTTGGGGTGGCAGACCCCTGCGCACAGCAGTTCCCTTTGGAGGGCCTTGAGGGTATTTGGGGTCTTGTACTGGGAGGCTCAGCAGTAACAGCTGTCCCTGAGCAAGGAGGGGCCCAGGAGGCCCAGGCGCCCCTAGAGGTGCCCATGGGGACACCCGTGTCGCCCACTCTCTTCCCGTCTGAGGAGCCAGGGTCCTGACACCCCATTCCACCCCCAGTGCAGGGCTCGCGGCCTGGAAAGAATGTACAGCTGACAGAGAACGAGATCCGTGGTCTGTGCCTCAAATCTCGGGAGATTTTCCTGAGCCAGCCCATTCTTCTGGAGCTGGAGGCACCCCTCAAGATCTGCGGTGAGCTCCTGCCCAGGCCCCTTTGGCTTCCTGAAACTGGCATTGGCCCCCCAAGTTCCTGGATCCCCCCTCCCTTGAACCCAATTCCGGCCCTGGGTTCAAGTCTAGACCCTGCACCCATCTTACGTAGTTCCCTGGGTCACAGGTGACATCCATGGTCAGTATTATGACCTTTTGCGGCTGTTTGAGTATGGCGGATTCCCTCCGGAGAGCAACTACCTCTTCCTGGGGGACTATGTGGACCGGGGCAAGCAGTCTTTGGAGACCATCTGCCTGCTGTTGGCCTATAAGATCAAGTACCCTGAGAATTTCTTCCTGCTCCGTGGGAACCATGAGTGTGCCAGCATCAACCGCATCTATGGTTTCTATGATGAGTGTGAGTGGTCGGGGGCTGCACTCCCTGCTGTTCAGTGGGACCCTCACACTGGCCCAGCGGCAGTGATGTATCTGACAGATACCTGTTAGACTATGAGCTCCGCGAAGGCAGGGCGTGGGTCAGTTCATTTCTGTCTGCCCTAACCTCCCTGCCATGGGGGCTGGCAGTCAGGAGGGGTCCAATGACTGGCTGCCAACTAGAAGGCTGCCCATATTCTAATACTTTCCCTCAGGGCCCTCCCTGAAGACACTCCCCTCCAGTACATCCGTTACTTAAGCACTTAGCATGCCTATATGAACTAGACTCTGCTGGCCAGAAGTTGTGATAAACCAGACCCAGTCTTGGCCTGGCTCTGCTCATGGAGTGGGGACGGGTGCCACCAGTGAGGTTGGTCCAGATTGGAATTCGGGTTCCTGTGAGCTTTAGAATTACTCCTGGAAGGCTGATAGGCAGTGTGTGTGTGGGCGGGGAGGAGGAGGGTTGAGCCCTCTCTGCCTTCCCCTCCCTTCTCCCAGCTGTTTGAATAGACCACCAATGCCCTGCAGGGCCCAGAGACCCAAGTTGAGGGTGGGGCAGGCAGGCCTCCTCATGAGCCTTCTCCTTCCCCTGCGCAGGCAAGAGACGCTACAACATCAAACTGTGGAAAACCTTCACTGACTGTTTCAACTGCCTTCCCATCGCAGCCATTGTGGATGAGAAGATCTTCTGCTGTCACGGAGGTGAGGGTGGCTCTGGGGCAGGTACCAAGGGAAAGCCTGGGAAGAAGGAGCCTTGGCCACATCCATGGGGATGAAGCTGTCAGCTGGAGGACATGTTACCAGTCACCTGGAACAACTCTCCCTTGGGTCTTGTTGTATATATCATCTCTTCCAGGAGGTCCCCCCTGCACCCCACTGCGAGGCCACACTCATTTTCCTGTTGTGGCATTCAGCATCCTGCATGGAATTTACTTGTCTCTCTTCTCCAGGGAGTGCTATGCTCCCAGAGAACAGGGAACATCTCTGTGCTTGTGTTTGGGTACTGGGAAAAGCTGAGGGGAAGGTGATGACTTCTGGTGCCTGGACTCCCAGGAGTCCAGGAGAGGGGCCAGGTGGTAATGGGAAGGCTCACTGGCAAAGGCTTCCTGGAGGAAGGGGGTCCTTGTTTTCAGGCTTGAGGAAGTGACCTGTCCCCTCTGCCCCCAGGCCTGTCCCCAGACCTGCAGTCCATGGAGCAGATTCGGCGTATCATGCGGCCCACAGATGTGCCTGACCAGGGCCTGCTATGCGATTTGCTGTGGTCTGACCCTGACAAGGATGTGCAGGGCTGGGGCGAGAACGACCGTGGTGTCTCCTTTACCTTTGGGGCTGAGGTGGTGGCCAAGTTCCTGCACAAGCACGATTTGGACCTTATTTGTCGGGCACACCAGGTGGGCCGGTGGCTCAGGGTCTGAGTGGGGAGAAGGAATGGGCAGGCCGCCACTTGTGAACTAACTTTGCCCCTCTTACCCAGGTGGTAGAAGATGGCTATGAGTTCTTTGCCAAGCGGCAGCTGGTAACACTTTTTTCAGCTCCCAACTATTGTGGCGAGTTTGACAATGCCGGCGCCATGATGAGTGTGGATGAGACTCTCATGTGCTCCTTCCAGGTGGGTGTGGGGAAGAAGCTGACGGGTTTTGTGGGTTAGCCTTGTGAGCCTGACCAGCTTTCTCTTTTAGATCCTGAAGCCCGCCGACAAGAACAAGGGAAAATATGGGCAGTTTAGTGGCCTGAACCCTGGAGGCCGACCCATCACTCCTCCCCGAAACTCCGCCAAAGCCAAGAAATAGCCCCTGTGTACTGCTCCTCTACCCCAGATGGATTGATTGTACATTAATCACGCTGCCATGGATATGGGGGTGTCACACTGGCTCCTCAGGCCCACCTGTCTTGGGGAACATGGAGACTTCATGTATTTTTCCTTTTTTTAATGAATAGCAGCATCCAATCCCTCAGGGCTCCCTCTGCCTGCACCTGCAGTGGCTGCAAGCAGGATCCTGGGGCCGAGGCTGCAGCTCAGGGCAATGGCAGGCCAGATTGTGGGTCTCCAGCCTTGCTTGGCCTCAGGGCTGGCAGCTGATCCTGGGGCAACCCATCTGGTCTCTCGAATAAAGGTCAAAGCTGGATTCTCGCCACAGTCTCTGTCTCCCTTGTCCCAAAAACTGGGCCTGGCAGCCCTTCTGCACAGAGCCACTTAAGAGGGCAGGCTTACTGGGCATGGGGCCCCAGCCAGGGCAATCCCAGCCACACATTCAGGGCCAAAGGTTCTTAGAAGTCCAAGCCATGGCCAGAGTATTGGGAAAACAGTCTGTGCTGGCCATAGAGGGTCCCAGAGGTGTGCCTAGGATTTGAGGGAGGGACAGGTCATGATTGGCAGAGAAGGTGGATCAGCAGGGACCAGCAGCCCCACTGTTTTTTTTTCTTAGAGAGGTGAGCCTGAGGAAAGCAGGCTTTCAGCCCAAGCCAGATGGCTGGAATCTGGCCTGAGGCTCTGTGGTAAAAAAAAAAGAGGCTCCTGTCAGATGGCTGCCCAGCACCAGGCCTGGGAGCAGACATGATTGCTTGATAATTGGGAGGACGTTACAGGTCCCAGGCCCATCACGGTCAATGGCCTGCAGGAGGTAGCAGAACAGCCAGCTTAGCTCCAGCACAGCCCACCTTTATGACCCCCCAGGGCTGAGATTCAGGCCCGTGCTGGCTAGGGCTTCATTTAGTCCATGGCCTCTGGACAAGACTTCAGGTTCTCAACTCAGCCTTCACCCTCACTGTCTTCAGCCAGCACAGGGCTGGGGCCCTGGGGGGAGTGTACAGGGACCAGGATAGAGCCAAAGAACAGCGAGCGGAACTGGAAAGAGAACAGGGGCCAAGTGAGTTCTGGAGGCTGCTGCCTTCCTCACCTCCCACATGTTGCCTCCACCTCCAGCCCCTACCTTCTTGGGTGGGGGAGTCCCAGGCACTGTACTGGGCTCAGCTTCATCTTCCTCCTCTGAGTGCGGGCCAGGTGAAAGGGAAATGGAGGGCAGTACCCTTGAGCCCTCATTGCCTACTGTGGTTTCCATGGCGATCATGTAAGAGTCAATGTCATCATTGGCAAAGTCATCCAAGTGGGGTGTGCTGCAGGCAGAAACAGGAGTATCAGCAAGGATCAGGGAGAGAAGAGGGGGCACAACAGCAGGGCCCCACCTTGTAGGACTGAGAGGGACCTTTGGGGCCTCATGACTGCTGGTGATCTCTTGGTTTTAATACTTCCTGATTTGGTTGGAGAGGGGAGAGTGCAGGGGTTAAGCGGTGGCTTCCTGGAGGGGGTGGGCCTGGAATCCCTTTAATCAGAGTTCAGGTAGGGGCCTGAGGGTGGCATCCTAGGGGCCAGTTTGGCTCAGCTGGGGAAGGAGAGCAGCAAGTCCTATGAGCTGGGCCACTTGGGGCCTAAGCCCGCACCTTCCCAGGGGACAGAACTGGAGAGCACTGGAGCTCAGGGACACGCTAGGCAGGGGGCCAGACCAAACTTCCTCTGCTTTAACTACACTGGGCCCATCCTCCCCAAACCCATCTGCCCTTCCAGCCACCTGCTTCCCCCAGCCCAGGCAACTCCCTGCCTCCCAGCAGCCCTTTCCCTCCTTGGCCTGGGAGGAGGCTCAGAGGGGAGGCCTCAGCCAGAGAAGCAAGCCAGCAGGACCTTGGGGACACTTCCTTGGTTGGGAGGGGTCTCTGAGTACAGCTGACCATGAAGGCAGAGCCTGCAAGGCTGGAAGCTGTGAGCACTGGAGGGGCCAGGGCCTGACAGGAAGCGTGTGCATTGGGGGAGGTGCAAAAGCTGGAAGCAGCAGGCTCAGGCTGGGTGCACAGCGGTGGGAGAGGAATGTGGGGGTGGGGGCCTCTCACCTGTGGGTTTGGATCTGAGGCACTGGCTGGTGGAGCTCTGGGGAGCACAGGTTCTGGGAGTGTGGGTCAGTGTCTGAGAGTGTGGCCAAGACAAAGTGGCCATCCAGCAGAGAGTCCTTGATGGTGAAGATTGCTGGCCTGGGCAGGGGACAGGGGCCTCAAGCTAGGACATCCCACTCAGCTCCTGTCATCCCAGAACCCTCCCCTCCCCTGTTCTGAGGCTGGGAATTACCTGCCTGGAGCATCAAAGTGAATGCTAAGAGACAAGTTTGCTGACTCTGCAAAGCTCAGGAGCCCCTGGGAGGGAAGAGGCAGAGTGGTGAGGCCCTAGGCTGGACAGGTTGGTGAGCTTGAGGTGTGGGGGAGGCAGTGGAACCTCACCCGGAATTCCTTGAGGCAAAAAGTGATGGCCACCCCTTCTTGGGCCTGCATCTGCTGGAAATCCTCCTCTCCAATGCTCATCTCAGTCACCATGGCTTTGACGGTGCTGTCTGTAGGGGCAGGAACAAGAGGAACTTGGGCCCCTGGGTCCCACCCCTCTCCCAACTACTCTATCCCAGGCCACATCTGGCTCCCTCACCTGCTTCCTCTTCCTGGTAGCTGCGCAGGATGACCCTGCGGCCACGGCCAATGCCCAGCGTCACTTCAGCCAGCGCAGGTGGGAAAGGCAGAACAGCCTCCCCCAGGACCCTGAGAGGAGACCAGGGCATTACACCTGATGCATATCCCCGCACAGGGGCTTTTCTCTCAGAGGACACATGCACATGAGCATGTGCCTATGTGTACAGGCCTAACATGCCCTGGGCGGGAGAGAACAGAACAAGCAGGACACAATAGGGATCCCATCATGTTCCCAAGGTGGGAGAGAAGGGACGGGGCAGATAAGAGCAGAGCCAGAGAAGGCAGCAGGAAGGATGGGCAGGCAGCACCTGACCATGCAGGGGTGGGAGAGGCCCTGGGGTGGGACACCACAGTCATGCCATCCCTATAAACCTGGCCCTCGGGCTGGCCCGGTGGCTCACTCGGGAGAGTGCGGTGCTGATAACACCAAGGCCCCAGGTTCGGATCCCATATAGGGATGGCCGGTTCGCTCACTGGCTGAGCGTGGTGCTGACAACACCAAGTCAAGGGTTAAGATCCCCTTACCGGTCATCTTTAAAAAAAAAAACAAAAAAACCTGGCCCTCAAAAAGAACTCTTAAATCCTTGTTTTCCAAGGATACACATTGCTAAAGATTTACAGATAAAATAACATCTGGAATTTGCCTCAGGACAACTGGGGACAGGAGCTGATATCTGCTTTAATATGTATTTGAAACTGTTCATAAGAAAAAGAGAAATAATCAATCATTTTTAAAAAGAGAGGAACCCCATACTGGCCAGCTGCCAAAAAGAGAGAGAGAAAGAGAGGAAGAAATAACCCCCAAATGCAGACCAAGGTGATAGCCTTCCCTCCTTTCTCTACCCAAAGGAGTCCTGAGCAGGGCTAGCTCAACAGAACCTAAGGAAACAGACTGTCAGGACCCACAGGGACCTTCAGTCACCATGAGAAATGAACAGGACCTTGGGTACTTGAATGCAAGCAGCATCCAGCACGGGGCAGGGAGCAAGCCCGCTCTGCACAGCACCAGAACGGCTCCACCCTCATGGCTGATTGTTCAGGCAGCCCTCCTGGACCTCAACCTCCCTGCCCAGCCTCTTGCCGTGGTCTGGGGGCGCTTCAAGGCTTGAGCTCAGGCAGTTAGGAAGAGAGGCTGCCCTTGAATGGAGAACATCCCCAGGATGACCAGGCCAGAGAAGGGTTTTGAACCTCTAAGTTGCATAGTTAAGGACAGACCTTCAAGGTTACTGAGGTAGACAAGAGATTTGATGGCAGGCCAGAGATGATTCCTCTAGGAGAGGAATCAGAGTGGGTCTGACAGGCCAGAAAGCCGGGCCAGACCTTCAAGATGCAGCCTGCAGACTCGTAAAGACAATAAGGAAAAGGGAGCAAGAAGGCACCTGCCCCTCCTCATCAGCCTGTGCCTTTAAAGAGCCAGGGAAGGAACTGAGAGCACACTGGGCTGGGTGAGTCTCTGAGAAACCCTGTAGTGAAAATGGGGGAGGAGGGCCGGCCCGTGGCTCACTCGGTAGAGTGCGGTGCTGATAACACCAAGGCCCCGGGTTCGGATCCCACATAGGGATGGCCGGTTCGCTCACTGGCTGAGCGTGGTGCTGACAACACCAAGTCAAGGGTTAAGATCCCCTTACCGGTCATCTTTAAAAAAAAAAAAAAAAAAAAAAAAAAAAGAAAATGGAGGAGGAATCCTTTTAAATAGACCCTTGAGGCCCGAAAGAAGGAAGAGAGAGACTTAGGGCTGTGCGTGTGGCAGGGGTGTGCTCACCGTGCTGGGGCACGAAGCACGTGGCGGCACAAGGCTGGGTCGAAGACGGCTTGCAGGGACTCGCAGTCCTGGAAGGACAGGTTGTGAGTCTTCCTCACCCCTGGATGGGCAGACGGGGTCTCAGTGGGCCTCACCTACCTCCTCCCTCCCAACCCTCAGGGACCTCTTGATGGGACAACTGCCTACTCACCGTACTTGCAGTGCAGCTGGACCACCAGGCGGCTGCTGCTGCCATTCAGGAAGATGCAGCATTTTTCCACAGTCTTCTCCAGCATAGCCAGCGAACGGAAGACGGACAGGAAGGACTGAGTAGGGGAAGACACATCAGCCCTGCACTACACCTCCACCAACCAGCTCTCATATCCCATGTAGGCCCGGACCCATCATGAGCCCAGCATGTAACACCAGGATAGGGGCTCCCATGACATGTGGGGCATTTGCACACTTCTAGATCTTGTTCATGCTGTTTCCTCTGCCTGGAATGCCTTGAAAGACCTGTTCACCTTTCCTGGCCTGGACAATGGGAATCTCACCACCGTCTCCAAGTCCCTGGCTCAATCAGTTGCCCTGTCCACAGCTCCCTTTACCCTGTGGATGTCTCTGCTGTGCTCCTCGCTGCATTGTGCATGGGATTGTGCCTGCATGTGTCTCTCCCCAACTGGCATTTACTGAGTGCCCAGAGCAGAGGCACAGCTAGTGGAGATTCCTGGGGTGGGGAAGTGCTGCTGCTGAGGGAAGAGCCTCACCTTCATCAGGATCTTACAGCGCAGCAGGTCCTGACCAGGGCTGGCCGCCTGGTACTGCTGGAAGAAGAGCGGGGCAAAGAGGAAGCAGGCATAGGCAGAGCGGGAGGAGTTCACCGTCCGAAGGGAGAGCTGGGCCACGAAAATCACGGAGAGCGACGTGGTCAGGGGCAGCGACAGGCCCAGCCCTCTGGCTTGCATTTGCCCTAACGTCCTCCCCCTCCACTATCACCTGTTGAAACCTCCTCCTCCTTGGAGCACCTGCTCCATGAGCCTTCCCAGTCCGCCTCAACACTGCTCCTAGAGGCACGGGTCCACACACCCCGCCCTTCCCCGTAGTTACTCTAAGTCTACACCACCCTCGCCCCATCCCGCCACTGGGTGCTCCAGGGAGGACGACTGCCCTCAATTCACACACCAGCATGGGAGATGACAAGGACCAAGCTGACGCCCCACTAACCAGGGAGAAAACAAGCTCATCCTGCCTGGTGGAGGCGGGACTCGAGTCCAGGTTACAGTCTCCCGGGTGGAATGCCCCCATGCCCCTGCCCCTCACCCCGTCCTCCAAAGGTTCCAGGTAGAGCTCGTCCCCGATTCGGGAGAGGGAGTGGACAGCCTTGCCGAGCACTGCGGGCAGGAGAGCAGACAGTGGGTGAGGCTGGCGCCTCGGGTTGGTTCACGTGCGCCCCCCGCTAGGCCGGCCCGAACTCACCTTTCACGTTGCCGCCCGTGACCAGGCACTTCATGCTGCCCCCGGCACCGAACCCGGGCCTAGCCTGCCACTAGGCTGAGACGTGGTCGACCTGCGGCGAGGCCACCCGGCAGGGCTCCGTGGCAGCCGCGGGGCCCAGGGATCCCTTCCCGCGCGCCGACTGCCGGCCACCCCCGCCCCCGCCCCCGCCTCCTCATTGGTCCACGCGCCGGTGCCTCCGTCACGTGAGAAAACGCTCGCAGGTTCCCCTGTCACGTGACGCGGTCCGCTGACGGGGGGTCGGGCCCTGTCGTCACGTGGCCGGGGGCGCCGTGCGCCGGCCTCAGCCACGGCTGCTCGCTCTCCAGGACCGTCCCTGGCCTTTGCGCGGCCCTGGAGCGCGGGGCCGCTCGGCTGGACACGCGGCGAGCTGCGCACCCGAACGCGAGGGGTAGAGGACGAAACCCCAGGGCGCGAGCTGCCTGGTGCGGTGGACCGGCGAGCCCCCCGTGGGCCACTAATTTAGTACGCACTTCCTGGGCGTCTGTCCCGGGGGATACAGAGTCGAGGCAAGACCGTCCGCACCCGGTCTGGGCCGGGCACTCGCAGCAACCACCAGCTCTAAAAAGAGGTCAAAGCAACTTGCTGCAGGAACAAGGGGCGGGAGGTGGCTGTTCATTCTGGCTTTGAGGATCCTTCATTGATCCAGGAAGAAAGAACAGAAGATTGCCCTGGAAGAAAGGGGTAGAAGGGTGTACCTGGCAGAGGGAAGGGCAAGAGTAAACGTTCAGCCGTGCACAGCGCTCTGCCGCGTGGAGGGAAGTGGGCGTGTGAGCCTCACAGAGAGGGGGGCTGCCAGATGAGGGGCACTTCTGGGAAGCAGTGGAAGTGTTTTATGAGGGTAGATCATGGTTATGTGCATTTTAAAAAGACCCCATAGGGGTTCGGATCCCCGTACCAGCCAGCCGGAAAAATAAAGACCCCAGCCTGTGTGAAAGGAGGGGCTTCATCGTGTGGACGGTCGTCTTCTAGCCCTAATCTCAGTGCCCACGCGTGTAAAGTGAAAGGCAAGTCTTGGAGGGGACTCTCTGACCCCTAGTTCCCTGCAGCACCAAGGTTCTCTTCTTAAAGAGGCCTGGGCATCGCTGCTTCCTGTAGGGCCGGCCTGCACCTTTCCCCTCTGGGCCTGTAGGTACTGCTGAGGCTACATTCTGCCTGAGGCCCCTTGCCCTCCAGCCCCGCACTTTTTCCCTCTCCTTCCCCTCACTTCCCCTCCTCCCCCAGCCTTTGCCCCTACTCTAGAGGAGGTTATTCTGCCCTTTCCCCTTCCTGAGGAGTCAAGTGTAAATGGCACCGCCTCTACCAGGGCATTTAGCTCAGTAAACTGGGCGTCCTTAACCCCACCATCTGTACAAACCTTCAGCAGATCCTGACAGCTCTGCCTCCCAAACAGATGACAACTTCACCTTCCCCTTCCGTCTCCACGGCCACCACCTTGCTTGGGCAACCATCCTCTCTCACCTGTAACAGCTCTCAGTGCTCTCCTGCCTCCACCCTGCCCCCTCCAGTCCACTCTGCATACAGCAGCAGAAGTGGCCTTTCTAAATGTGGATTGTGTCTTGCTTCTCCCTTGTTTACATGGCTCCAGTGGTTGCCATAAAATCCAAACTCTTTATCACGCAGGAGCCAGCCCCACCCATGGCTCCACCTGTCTCTTCCCCTTGATCACCTGCGCAGCCATGCTGGCCCTGTCCCCTCAATGTGCCACTTCCGCTTCCACCTGGGGATCTTTGCACATGCCATTCCCACCACTGGGCACAGCCCTCCCACTTCTCACATGCTGGCCCTTCTCTCCCTCACGGCTCAGCGGCAGTTGCCCCTCCTCAGCTAGGCCTTCTCTGCCCCGGCCCAGCCTAGTAATCTGTAGCTCAGCCCTCGCCCTGTTTTAGCCATAGCACTTATCACAACTTAACGTGGTTTCGTACATGTGTTCACTTATCTAACACCTGTCTTCCCCACTGGGATGTCGGCCTCTCCAGGGTATGGACCATATCTGTTTTGTTTATTGCTATATCCCTGTACCTCACACAGGGCCTGGCCCCCAGTAGATAATCAACAAATAAGTGCATAATAAATTTGTGAACCAAATAAAGCTGAGCTGCCTCTAAGTCACTCTTAGCACAGTGCTGTGGTGAGAGACTCAAATCCAACTTTCAACCCACTGCCCACAGTCCCACCTTCCCTGTACGATAGCTGAGCCCACACTCTCCCCATCAAAAACAAAAAACAAAGCAAAAGCCCCATAGCATTATCGGTTTGCTTTCTTACCTTTTCCTCTGCTCTGGATCGCTCTCTTTTTCCTCTCCAATGTAAGTCAGCATAGCCTTCCCAGCTTCTCCACCTCTGCCCCATACCCATTACCCGGGCAGCCCACCTGGAACAGGAGGTAGAAACCCAACCTCCCCAGAAGGCAAAGGAGGGGAAGGCTGTGAATATTCACACACATTCACATAATATTCCTGTTTCTGCCTGTGACACCTAAGGGGCTGTAGGGTCCTGTGGTCTTAAGGTCTTTGGAGCAAGGCCCTAGGGAGAATGGAAGGGAGCCATAAGCTCTTTAGGACTTTTCTTCTTTTTTTTTTTTTGGTGGCTGGCTGGAGGACTCCTAATGAGTTTTCAGTCACCCTCCCAACCCCTTGCAAAAAGTCAGAAATTATCTGTACCTTCTGAAGGACTTAAAACCAGAAAGGAGGGCTGGCCAGTTACCCAGTTGATTAGAGCACAGCCTTGTAACACTAAGATCAAATCTCCATACCAGCCAGCAACAAAAAATAAAAATAAATAAAACCAGAAAGGAGCCTGGCTGGGAGTCAGGAGACCTGGGTCTCTCATCTGGGATTCAGCACTGACTTGCTCTTGACTTTGTGCGAGACCCTCCTGTCTCAGGCTGTTTCCTCATCTGTATATGTGATGCTCCGTGAGGTCCCTTTTAACTTTGATGCACTGTGATCCTGAAGGGTCCCTTCGGCTTCTGCGTGCCCCTCATCTACCCACAGCTCTAGAGAGGAGCTGTACTCGGCTGTGCTTCTTCCCCTCTCCCCGCCCCCAGCCTGTGGGGCTGGAGGGAGCTTTCCACTCTGAGGCCAGGGAGCCTCTCCAGGCTCACAGTCGGCATATCCAATAATGCCGTTCAGGTCCAGGAGGGAGGTCACACGTGGGGAATGAGGAGCTCAGAGCTATTATGAACACTTTGTGTTGGGAAAGGGATGAGTATAGGGACCCAAAGAGGATTTGGGGTCTGTGCTAAACATCAGGAGACCTGGGTGTAGCTCCAGCCCTGCTCATAGATGATCTCAAGCAAGTCAAAGCCCCTCCTCTGGGCCTGTTTGTTTCTCAATAAAATGAGGGGATTGGATGAGATGCTCTCTTGGGAGTCTTTCAAATTCCAAATTTATCGTCTTCACCATACCCTGCAGTAGAGGTGGCCTTCTACAATTAAGTGTGTAAGTATGTGTGTGTGGGTGAGGGGTGGCAGATATGGAATGGAAGTGGTTACCATTTCAGACCCTTAAAATAATTATCTGCTGGGAAATTTCTTCACTTCAACCACCACTTCTCACCCATCTGGTTAGGTCTGAAGCTGTAGGAAGCCCAAAGCTTGGGATCTTGGTGCTCAGTAATTCACTCATTCAACAGATATTGACGCACTTTTCTAAGTATGGGGAAGAGTATAGGACAAAAATCCCTGCTGTCATGGGGCTTCCACCCAGGTGGAGAGAGACAAACAACAAAATAAACGAGTCAATCACATAGTATGCTAGAAGGTGGTGGGCGCTACGGAGAAAAGAAAACCTGGAGAGGGAGAAAGGAGGGTTGGGGGAGGAAGGCTTCGACTTTAAATGGCATGGCCACACTGGCATCATTGAAGAGTTGACACTTGAGCAAACACCTGAAGGAGGTGATGGGTGAGCCCTGCAGACATCTGGGGAAGAGTGCTCCAGGTAGAGGGAATGGCCAAGGTCAAGGCTCTCAGTGGCAGTCTGCCTGGACAGTTTGAGGACCTGCACCCTCAGCAGAGTCAGGGTTCCTGAGCTGGAGAAGGTGAGGAGAGCTACATTCTAGTGGGGGGAAGCTGACATTAGTCAAAGAATCAGCACAGGAAATATGAAATTATACCTTTGAGAAGGGCCAGGAATGATGATGACATGGGCTATAAGAGCATGTCACTGGGTAGAGCCATAAGGGGCAGCAGGGAGGGCTTCCTGGAGGAAGAAGCAGTCTGAGGGAGAAGAGGCATGGAGAACGAGTTGACCAGAAAAGCACATCTGCTGAGGAGCCATTGGTGAGGATGATTTGCAGGCACCACTCTGTCCAATCATGGGATGTCCTGTGCAGCCCCCTTATAGACACAAGAGCACATGTGGGATTACTCGTGGTTGGAGTTTTGCCAGATTGGGGTAACTAAAGAGCAGAAGGGCAGGGAGTGTAGAGCTTGGGAGTTCACTCTGGTTTGTCTTGATCTAGTCTGTGCACACACAGAAAATGGTATTTATAGGGTTGATCTGGAGTAACCCTAGCTCTAAGCTGCTGGGGGCACTGAGCTGGCGGGGCACTACTCGGCCTGCTCGTGATGTGTCTGTGGCACACCAGGTGCTGCCAGCCCCCAATGCCGAGCTCTGCCCATGCCTTTCTTGCTCCCTAGCATTTCTCCCAGCAGGCAGAAGAACATTTGGCACCTAGTAGTGGTTTAATAAGTCTGTGTTGAGTGACCAAAGCATATGGGATTCAGAGAGCTTCCAAGACTTGAACCCAGGGTTGTCTGTTGAAATGGAGAGTGGGGTTCTAGGTGCCAGCTGCCTAGGTCTGAGTCCTGGCTCCATCACTTTCAGGTTGTGTGAAAATGGACAAGGTGCTTCTGTTCTCTACCTCAGTTTCCTACTCTGTATTGGGGGTCATAACATGTATTAGTCCGTTTTCTGTTGCTTATAACAGAATACCTGAAGCTGGGTAATTTATAAAGAAATAGAATTTATTTCTTACAGTTTCAGAGGCTGGAAAGTCCACGGTACAGGGAGCATATCTGGTGAGGGCCTTGTTCTTGGTGGTGGCTCTACAGCGATGCAGGGTGTCACACAGCGAATGGCTTGAGCAAAAGAGAGCTCACCTGCTCATTCACTCTCCTTATAAAGCCGACAGAACCACGCCCATAACCACCCATTAAACCATCAACTTATTACTCCATAAATGGATCAATCCATTCACTGGGGCATGGTTCTCACGATCTCATCACCTCTTAAAGGCCCCATCTTTCAATTACCATAATAGTATTTCCCACCCTCAACACTATTACAGTGGGGATTAATACATGAACCTTTGGGAGACACAATTCAACCCATAGCACCACCTCAAGGGCATTTGTGAGCATTAACTTAGTTAACACAGAACACCTCTTGGAGTCTGCTGTTAGTATTGCTATTATTATGACTGCATTGTCCTGACACCTTCATCTCTGGGGTGTATCCTAACAGTATCTTCGGGTCAGACCTGGAGCAAATCATCACCTTAGATGAAGCCACAGCAAATCCACCCTAGAAACCCAGGAGGAAAGTCCCTCCAAAGCAATATTACAGAGAAAAGGTCTGCACTCCAGAAACTAGAAAACATCAAGAGGACTCTTGGGTAGGGGGAAGAGGTCAGGAGGAAGCTGCTGCCTCGAGCTGCCCCATGTGCCAGCCCCACAATTGTGGGCCCTTGGTTTCCTCAGCTTTGTGAGGACAGTGTGACTCCTTGGCTTCTTCACAGGCTGCTGGAGACTGGCATGAGATGATGGGTGTGCCCATACTGCTGGGCACTGTGCACAAAGGAGGGACCTGGTCTTTTCAGTCTGCACAGCTGGAGGTGGGGGGGAGATGGGATGGAATTTTTTAACTCATAGTGGGGATAGGAAGGGGGAAGCTCGGGATTATTCACCAAAACCTGGCAGGCTGGAGCTATACGGGGCCCCCTTGGAGCATAAGTGAGGTAAGTTTAGGACAAATCAAAGGCAGCGTGCTTCACCCAGCAGGGGAGGACACCGATGGAACTCATTACCCCAAGATGTGGTCTCCGTTGGAAATATAAATAGCTTCACAAAAGGTTTAGATAAATCTGTGGATGACAGCTTCATTCATGGGTTAGAAGGGAAGGAGGATGTTTGGGGCTTGCTGTCTTCCTGGGAAGGCACCAGGGAGGCCACCTGGCCTCCCCAAGACCACCCCTTGGCGCCCCTGTTGGAGGCAGACTTCTGGCTGCAGGGACCCAAGGAGGCAATGTCAGTGTTCCTGTAGGCTAGAACCTGGCCTGAGTCCCCAGGCCCCTGGGAACCCAGGAGGGAATGTCGGTGATCCTGTAGGCTAGAGTCTGGTGATCCTGTAGGCTGGCCTGAGTCCTGGGCCCTTTCCTCAACATCCCCCACACTCGCCATCCACTGTTTGGGGGAGCCAAGGGCACCACCAGCTTTGGGGAAAGCATCCTGGCCAGGCTGTCCCTTAAAGGGCCAGCAGAGGGAGACAGACACCAGCTCACAGAACCGACCAGGCAGGTCAGCCTCAGATAGGGTCAAACAAGCTTCCGTGGATGCCAGCTCTGTGCCCAACTTTATGCTAGACACTCACAGGGGGAAGCGGGCAGAGAAGGTGTCCTGCCTGACCAAGATGGGCTTACTACAGGGGAGATGGGGGTGGGGAGGAAATTTCAAGGAAGTGGGGCCGGTGGTGGGGGAGTGCTACTAATTAAGGGCAGGGTGGCTCTGGAGCCAGGTTGCCTGCCTATGTGAACTTAGGCAAGTTATGTAACTCTGTGCCTCAGTTTCCCCATGGTAAAATGGCAACTACAATAGCACCTGCCTCAGGAGGACGATGTGAGATTGTCTGTGTCAAGTATTTAAATATTTCACTACAGTGCCAGGCAATTAGTGAGTGCCCAGTAAATAGTAGCTATAGTCTACACAGATGGGGAGTCCAGAAGTCTCTCTGGTCTCCTTGGAGCTTTGCAACTTGCAAAGCCCTTTCAGTTTATTATCTCATTTGAGCTTCACCACCACCCTAGAGACTTGGCAAGGCTAACGGCTCACTAATACATGGTAGACCTGGGTTTTCTGATACTAAAGAATCCAGGCATCTTTCTAGAGTTCCCTGGGGAGCTGGAGGTAGGAGGAGGTCTGTTCCTGGTGCCCTGGTCTATGCTGCACCTCCTGGCAGGCTGCCCACATCTCCGGTCAGTATTGAAGTCATCTTGCTCTCTGTCCTAACAGATCCCAAGCCCCTGGCAGGCAGGCTGTGCATCTTCATTGATCCACAGTATTCAGCAAGGTGCTTCAGAAAGCTTCTGGAAGGTGACTGGACCCCAGAGGTCTGAGCATCTCCTCCCCAAACCCTGTACCTGTTCCAAGCCAGGTGTGACCCTCCTCTTTTTGCCATTCAAATCCCCCCGCTCCCTGGGTGAAGTCTTCTCTAACATCTCCCTCCTCTGATCTCTCCTTTCTCTGCCTCACAGCCCTTTGTACACCTTCTTAAGTTCCTGTTTTATTTAACAAATTTTTCATTGGTTAACGGCTGAAACTAAAGTATGTACAGTATGCGCTGTTAAGGAACACGGGGTGGACCTCGCAAAGATGCCTGGGGGTGCTTGGGAGTGGGTGAGCTCCTCACAGACACAAACCACGATGTCTTTCAGATGCCCTGAAAGCCTGGAATGGGGCTGGCATGGGATCGATTGGCTCCTTTCTTCCCTTCTGAGCAACGGTTCCCTGAGAACCCACCCTTCCCATCTCCACCCTCCTTCAACTCATTGACATCCTACAAGAATGCTGTCTGGGATACAAGGTCACGTCCTTAGGAGTTGTTTATTGTGAGGGGGGAGATGAGATATCCTCAGATAGAGCTTAGGACACATGGTAGAGCAGCCAGGGCCCTGTGGTGGGGAGTCAGAGTGCGAGTGGTGGAGACAGGCTTCAGAAAGACGGCAGAAGAAGAAAGAACAGAGAAGTTTTATTTATTTTATTTTTCTGGCGGCTGGCCACTACGTGGATCGAACCCCAGACCTTGGTGTTATCAGCACCACACTCTAACCAACTGAGCTAACTGGCCAGCCACCAGATAAGGTTTAGATGTGTATACACAGGGACTTAACGGGTAGGTGGAATTCTAGGTAGAGGAGACATCGATAGCAGAGACAGAGGGATAAGGCATGAGGGACAGGTAGCAATACTATTTAACAGCAATATTTATTGCTCCCAAGTGCCAGTGATTTGACGTCTATTAACTCGACTGAGTGCCTTTCTCTGAGGCAGTTGCTATTATTATCCTCCCTATTTTACAGAGGAGAAACCCGAGGTGAGGGGTTAAGTGACTTGTGCGAGGTCACACAGCTGGTGGAGGTGGAGCAGGCACTCTCTCTTTATCACTAAGTCTGGAAGCGCAGGCACACGTGGTGGGACCCCACAACACTGCATCACAGGGACAGCCCCAGGGGAGGTGGTGCTGTCCTCTGACCCCCAGGGCCCCTTAGGAGCCTGGACAGTCTGGAGAAAGCAGTGAGACGCCTGAAGGAGGGAGGCGGGTGGGAGGGAGGGAGGGGAGACAGCAGGAGGAGCCGACAGTGACTCAGCAGGGCAGGCAGGATAAGGATCTTCCAGCCCAGGGAGAGGTAACCCCACTCCTCTGCCAGGGGAGACGGAGTCACAGAGCCTGCGGCATGGGTTGGCCAGGGCAATGGAACATCCTGGGAGAATGGCGGGGAAAGCTCCTGGCAGGCAAGGGAGGAGATGAGCACCTGGGGTATCCCTTCTGCCCCTGCCTTCTTCACACACCCATGGCCCAGGCATCCTCGCAGATGGGGAGAGAGAGGCCAGAGAGGGCACGGGAGAGGCGGGCAGCAGGACCTGGTTCCTCTCAGCTTCTCTCTGGCTTCGCAGGGGTGGTAGGGGGGTAGGTGGTGGTGGTGGGGTGTCCTTTGGGAGGCCTGAGCTGGGTCAGGTGTGGGTGGGGGACCTAGGGCAGGGTAGGGCTGTTGCTGAGGTAAGAGGAGGCCCTCTGCCCCAAGATTTCTGCTGACATCACGGCCAGCTCAGGGTGAGGCAGGGCCCTCTGGGCTTCTGCCCACTGGAGGGAAAGGGAAAGTGCCCCCCCTCTTCCTTCCCCTCTTGCCCTCAGTGGTGCCCGGTGCCTGCACACAGACACACTGGAGGGTGTGCACACATGGTGGTGAGAGGAGGGCTCCTCCTAGGGATGCACAATCCCAGGTGCATCCTGGGCAGGGCCTCCGAGCCCACGTAGGCTTCACTTTGCCGGACGTCGGTGGGGCCCTCAGGAAGCAACAGGAAGCACTTGTCCTGGTTCTGCTGCTAGGTAGCCATCAGACTCCCAGTTTGATGCTCAATCTGTGATTCCAGACTCCCTAAAGGAATCCAGAATTCTAGCTGAGCTCTCCAGTGCTCTTGGGTCTGCCCTCTCTCCAACTCAGGAGGGTGATGTGAGGTGCCTGGTCCAGTTTCACACAGTCAGTTCACACCAGTGGTGGGTGGCAGGCAGAAGAGCTCAGGCCTCCCCAGGCAAGGATTTCTCGGGCACTTGAGGACACTCTTTATGTCCCAAGGAGCATCTTAGTGTCCTGAGGAGACCAGAGGCAGCTCCAGCTATTGCTGAAATCTGCTCTCAGCATCTAGCCTCTTCTCATTTCAAGAGCCCCCTGCCTCCATGCCCCCTGCCCCAAGCCGGCACCTGCATGTCACTGAGGTCAGAAGATGCTGGGCTTCAGTCTAGCTCTACCTCTTACAGGATTATGTGACCTGAGGCATGTGACTTCATATTACCAAGCCTCAGTTTCCTTATGTAGAAACGGGAAAATGATAGCTCCTATCTCATGAGGTTATTGAAAGTATGAAGTGAAATAGTGCATGGGAAGCCTTAGCACCAGCACAGCTGGGAAAGTTTAGCACGTTTAAACTATTGTTAGTATTTAAGCAAAGCAAATGTCAATGAGAAACGCCAGTACTGCAGCAGAAGGGCAGGGGTCGCTGTGGCAGGCTCCTGCCTCTGGCCTGCCCCTGGTCAGCCTCCACCCCTCCACCCCATGGCCCCTTAGGGCTCCTCTCTTTGTCCCCAGCACCTGGCATGGAAGAGACACTCGGAATGTTTGGTGAATGTCCCTATCCACCTCTGTGGGCTTCTCCAATACCACATTCCTGCTTGTCTGTCAGGGGGAACCACACTAGAGGCTTCCCTAGTTCAGGAATCCGGACACTCCCTGGGCCAGGGTCCCTTCAATACTAATTCTACAGCTTTTCATGACATGGTGTTTTTTGGGCACCCAGAGAGCTTTCCTTGGGCATGTCAGTTATAGGGAGAAGGGAGGGAAAGCAGGAGGAGGGGGTGGGACACTAGCTAGCCCCTTGGCCAGTAATGACTTACCCTCACCCCTTGGAGGCCAGCTCTGCCCCCCATCCAGCCACACCTCTTGGTGCCTGACCTGCCACCCCGTGGATGGTAAAACCTGGAGTCTGCAGGTCCAATGAAGGTGGTAAACCAGTGTCTCCCTCATCAGCTCACTGAATATTCCCACCATCCTGTGGAGAGGAGGGCAAAGGTGGTCATGTCCCATTCCACAGAGAGGTGACAGTCTCAACCTGGCCCTGTGCCCTCTGCAGGGAACTGTGTGGGCCATGCCCAGTGCTGACTCTGCGCCTCCACCTGTGGTTGCTGCTGCCCTTCCTGCTCTGTCCGCCCACGTTTCCACCCTGAAGCTCTACCTTCTCCTGAGGTTCTTCTCTCACCATTCCCCTCGGCCCTAAATGCACCCACGACCACCTATGGCTGACCTCAGATGGCTTAATGAGTGTCCTGACTGAAATTCTTGGAGGCAAGTGTGGGTTTTCCTTGTCCTCTGTCCTTTACGAGACCTCGCACCCAATAGGAGCTGAGGAAATGCCTACACAATGTGCCATGGGACAGATGGAATGTTTCGCTAGGGGATGGGTGTCTCCTCTAACTTCTGCCCTACTCCCCAGCAGCAATCCCAAATTGTCAGAGCTGGAAAGACCCCTAATAAGTTCTGTTTCTGAGAGCTGTAGGGGAGCAGGAATTTTCCCAAGGTGTCCCAGCTGGAAATCAGAGGGCAGCCACCTGTCCTGCCCCATCCCACAGAAGTTCTGGATGGGCTGCTCCTGCTCCACCTCTCTTTCCTTCCTTCTCCCCCAGATCCCAGCAGCCCACCCCCATTTGGGGATTTGGCAGAATAAAGGCACAGTCTTTATTCCAGCCCCCACCCCAACCCCACTGGCAGCTCCTAGCCAGCTGCCTTTGCCCAGACATGGCGGAGGGGCACTGGCAGCTTGGAGATGGAGTTGATTTTCCCTTTGGCAGTGTGGAGGATTGGGGGAGGGGAGAAGCTTGGCCCCCACTGGGTGAGGGGAGAGGGCAGGGACACAAGTCCAGACAAGAGGCAGAGGGAGAACATGACTTGCCCAGCTTGTGGGTCACTACATTAAGAATCAAAGACAAACTGGGAGCCCGGGGGGGGGGGGGGGGGGGGGGGGGGGG